TGTTGTTGTAGTACTCAGTGACGTCAGCAACGTCGACGCGCTAGGACTAAAACCATTCATGAATTTCAATGTACAACAAGCTCCCCGATTTGCACGAATTATAAACGAATTATAATTTTTTAATCCCTTGTTAAATAATGAAGTGAATTTTTCTCCCAAAAAAGCCGTAGAAATTTGATTAATTTTTCGAAATTTCTGAAAAAAGTTACGTTGGTATCAGTTTAGTCGCGGGATTCCCCAAATCCACATCGTAAGGAATAAAATTAAGCACGCTGATTGATTTTACGGCTGTTTTCGAATCGGTTTCTGACTGCTCCACTGTAATTTACATTTAAAAACTCATTGATACCACTATACTTCTTTCTCACTGGAAATGCTAGTGACAAGTAATATCTTTGTTTTAATTGATAACGCTTTTATTAACATTAACCTCCTCACTTGGAAGGTTGAAGATGATTCCTTATCCTGACTTCTCTAAAGTATGCGAGCGCTACGAACCGCCGGGCCTGTCATAAACTCAGTTTTTCACAATACTTTTTTTAGTGCGAATCATGTAGGAATGTGAGAAAATGGGGTAAACATGATAAAAAAGAGCATTTCTCTTCTTACAAGCTCGAAATCGAATGACAAAATAGCTGAGCGCATCACCATGATACATGACGATAGCTTCATTCGTCTCACTTACCAGCGGCTCCGGCTTCACATTGCAGAACCTAAAGCAGGCTTCACGGCTTAATGAGAATATCGTTTTCTTTACGCAGACTTTTACCTTAGGATGGGAAGCACGAGGCTTACCGGTCTGATCATGCGTTCCTGTAATAAACTTGAAACAGACAAATGCGCATGAATTGTTGTTGCATTACACTTACTTTGTGCTTTCACTAGTGTAAATCATAAATTTTGCACAAAGAAAAATGAACAATTTCTGTTTAGCTGTCGTTCTTTGATAATCATCTAGCAAACTCAGCCTCTCGGCTTTTCTGGTTCCTGAGTTAACAGTTTTCTAACCATAACTTTCGCCCTCTTGAACACGGCATTCAGAAATGCATGAAGATTGGTACTGCTGCCCTGGGGGTGGCACTTAGCCAGCTAAAAGTTTTAGCGAGTTGGAATGCCTGGATAGACGCAAATACACACGCATGCATACTGTCGTCAAAATATGCGTTTATGCATTTACACATGCACAGAAACATATAAAAAGTAAAGCTCAGGGACTGTAAAAAACTTCAGTGGATTCGAAAATCAGTTAATGTAGGTATCCGCACCTAGCGCCCGTGTTGCTAACATCCTTGTAGCGTACTTCGGTGAAGCTGTCACCGCATGGCACCGACGAGTCGAATTTGAACGCATCAAATAATAAATAGATCCGTTTCGATGGTTTTGCCTGTAGCATGAAAATCTACATAAAATCATTCTAAGACACACATTCAACTGGAAAAACGATCATGTGCCTCTGTTCAGTTTTTTTAACAGAGCGTTTCAGAATTTTAGCAGTAGTGCTCATGAACAGATGAACGATGCGTAGCATGCAAAAGCTGCGTGACGCAAAACAAGCTTAATTATATAGCTTGGAGCACTAGCTGTTGAATGTATGCGTTTTTGCACTATTTTGCATAGTGGTTGTCTGATGTTAAGAACTTTCATTATTTCACAGTTTGATGTGTGCACTCATTTTGGAGATACTGCGATCGGTTTACTTTTTCGCATTACGCGACGTCCATGCTTTTTGACGTTACGCATCATTCGCCTTCGTGGCTTTCATTGTCACTGCGACTGCTTGAAAACTGGATTTTAAACAATAATAATCAATACGCCACTAATTATGGGTTTCACTCTAAATGTGTGGTTTAGTAAAGCCTAATGTAGCCTAGGCACTCAAAATTACCGTGTCACTTTTACAAAAAATACGCGGAAAATAAATAAAGAAATGATAAAAAGATTTTGGCTGAACAATTTCATCAGTTTACTTTGATAACATAATTGCATTCTCCAACACCAGCCATTGTCAATGTTTGTATAGCCTCACTGGCATGATGTTCGAGTGTACCGCATAATGAACTGCCTGGTCGTGGTAACTCACAAAAAATTCCGCTGAATGGTTCCGGACAACGACATCGACTGCATAGTTTAGGATCCGTGTAACCGCCACGTTGACATGGCAGCTGAAGGATGCACGTCCCTGCAACCCAAATCAATAAAAGGTCATCGGGTAGCTGTTGAAATGTACTGCGGACGCACGTTGTTTTTTGGTGCTGGTTCAAATTCGGAGCAGTTTGCTGCTTCACGCCTAAAACCAGTCGCTGTTTCTTTTTTGCTGATAGTTTTCTTTTCATTTCTAGTTCAGCATTATGTCAGGTTTTTTTTTTTCCTAACCAGTTACTGCCAAAACCGTTATTATTACTGCTGCTCCCATTTCTTTTCATATTTTTTGTTTTTCTTCACAAAATTGTGCATCGGATTATTATTACTGCTGCTCGCATTTCTTTTCATATTTTTTGTTTTTGTTGACAAAATGGTGCATCGGATAAAAAGTGACAAGAAGGTGGATGCTGGTGAATGCTTCGCAGTCGACCATTCGTGAGGTTGAATAACGCAGTTACGGGGTCTGTTAAGAATTCTTGAGAAGAACCGAATCTGTGGTATCAGTCGTCATACTCTGGATAAATTTATGCTTGAGACAGGTAAACACAAAACCTACTCCACCTGCTCGTGTTTAGAGCATTAGGATAAGTGGTGCAGTGATTAATACGTTACTGTACGAAAACCTAGAGTTTGTAAAGTTCTATTTCTTTAATTCCATTCTCTCCCATTCCCGCCAAATTTCACACTCCAAGTACAAATTTTACCAAAATAGAGCTTCGTTTGTTATGTACCAAAGCAAAGCGTTTGCTACTAGCAAAGCTGCAGCGGTAGCAAATGAGCTTACGATTGCAATAAGCAAAATTGATTTTTTTGATATCATTGAAGGATAGCTGCTTTCGCTGCCCAATTGTTAACTGATAATTATGATCAAGAGTCCGCAGCGTAGGTAGGCCATTTCCAGAAAATGCCTGAAATCA